CTGCTCCCAATCACAAACAAACACAAAATCTAGCATCATTCAGTCTCCAACCACCTCTTGGCTTCTACAAAAAATCGTTCTACATCGCCGCTGGAGACCCCCCGGTGGCTGCTCGCCGAGCCTCGATTGGCCTACTTCTCCGCGCTCGTTTCCACTTGTGACGCCAGGCCCAAACGAGCGCAGCACATCTACCTAGTCTTCCATCACATCTTAGCTTGCAGCAGACTGTGGAGTGACCCTGCTTTCTATATGCACCCCCCCCAATGCTCATGCGTGTTTTGCATCACCATACCTTCTCTCTGCCCCCCAGCACCTTTACTTGCGCCTCCCCCTCAAACCCAATCAAACCTGCACATGAGGGTTCCCCGCCGATGCAGCACGCCGTGGAGGCGTTCTGCCCTACCACCTACCTCATCTCTTGCTCGCACCCTCTACTGGCCCCACTGTCTGCGCCACACCCTCAATCTCTCTAACTCTTACCCCCTCCCTGCCCCCTCCTCACATTGGGGATTCCACGTAGCCGATGCAGCACGCCGTGGAGTCACCATGTGTTCTGCCCTACCACCACCTACCTCGTCTCTTGCCTGCACTTTTGTCTCCCACTTCATCATCCTCTTGCCTGCACCCTCTACTTCTACCCAGTCTACACTGCCACAGCCCCGTCCCTGCCGTGTCCTCCCGCCCTTAACATCCACATGGGGGTTCCACGTAGCCGATGCAGCACACCGTGGAATCACCATGCCCTCTGTCTGCCCCACACCCTTCAATATCTCAAATGCTTACCCCTTCCCACGCCGTGGAGTCACCATGTGTTCTGCCCTACCACCTGCCTCGTCTCTTGCCTGCACCCTATACTGGCGCCATGTCCCTCCACATAGCGACCAGACGAACTCCCTTCCTTTTCTCTCCCACTTCATCCCTCTTGCCTCCGCCCTCTACTTCTACCCCGTCTACACTGCCACGGCCCCGCCTCCAGCCCCTTAACATCCACATGAGGGGTTCCACGTAGCCGATGCAGCACACCGTGGAATCACCATGCCCTCTGTCTGCCCCACACCCTTTAATATCTCTGACGCTTACCCCATCCTGCCCCCTCCTCACATTGGGGATTCCACGTAGCCGATGCAGCACGCCGTGGAATCACCATGTGTTCTCTTGCCTGCACCCTATACTGGCGCCATGTCCCACTGCCTGCCCCCTCCTCACATTGGGGATGCCACATAGCCGATGCAGCACGCCTGCCCTACTTCATCTCTTGCCTGCACCATGTCCCACTGCCGCCCCAAGTAAACCTCTCCACCCTCACTGCCATGGCCCGTCCCTGCGTCCTCCAGCCCCTTAACATCCACATGGGGGTTCACGTAGCCGATGCAGCACACCGTGGAGTCACCATGCCCTCTGTCTGCCCCACCCCCTTTAATATCTCTAACGCTAACCCCATCCCTGCCCCCTCCTCACATTGGGAATTCCACGTAGCCGATGCAGCACGCCGTGGAGTCACCATGTGTTCTGCCCTACCACCTACTTCATCTCTTGCCTGCACCCTACACTGGCGCCATGTCCCACTGCCACCCCGAGTAAACCTCCACACAGGGACCATAGGGCCCCCGTTCCTTGCGTCTCCCATTTCCCCTCTTGCCTGCACCCTCTACTTCTACCCCGTCTACACTGCCATGGGTCGTTTCTGTTGCGTCGTCCTCCAGCCCCTTAACATCCACTGCGTCCTCCCGCCCCTTAACATCCACACGGACGTAGCCGATGCAGCACACCGTGGAATCACCATGCCCTCTGTCTGCCCCACACCCTTTAATATCTCTAACGTTTACCCCCTCTCTTCCCCCTCCTCACATTGGGAATTCCACGCAGCCGATGCAGCACGCCGTGGAGTCACCATGTGTTCTGCCCTACCACCTACTTCATCTCTTGCCTGCACCCTATACTGGCGCCATGTCCCACTGCCACCCCGAGTAAACCTCCACACAGGGACCATAGGGCCTCCGTTCCTTGTGTCTCCCACTTCCCCTCTGCCTGCACCCTCTACTTCTACCCCGTCTACACTGCCATGGGTCACACCCTTTAATATCTCCAATGTTTACCCCCTCTCTTCCCCCTCCTCACATTGGGAATTCCACGCACGCCGTGGAGTCACCATGTGTTCTGCCCTACCACCTACCTCGTCTCTTGCCTGCACCCTATACTGGCGCCAGGTCCCTCCACATAGCGACCAGAGGAACTCCCTTCCTTTTGTCTCCCACTTCATCCCTCTTGCCTCCGCCCTCTACTTCTACCCCGTCTACACTGCCACAACCCCGTCCCTGCTGCATCCTCCAGCCCCTTGACATCCACATGGGGGTTCCACGTAGCCGATGCAGCACACTGTGGAGTCACCATGCCCTCTGTCTGCCCACACCCTTTAATATCTCTAACGCTTACCCCATCCCTGCCCCCTCCTCACATAGGGGATTCCACGTAGCCGATGCAGCACGCCGTGGAGTCACCATGTGTTCTGCCCTACCACCTACCTCATCTCTTGCCTGCACCCTATACTGGCGCCATGTCCCACTGCCACCCCGAGTAAACCTTAGGGTCTCCGTTCCTTGTGTCTCCCACTTCATCCCTCTTGCCTGCACCCTCTACTTCCACCCCGTCTACACTGCCATGGCCCCGTCCCTGCTGCGTCCTCCAGCCCCTTAACATCCACATAAGGGTTCCACGTAGCCGATGCAGCACACCGCGGAGTCACCATGCCCTCTGTCTGCCCCACCCCCTTTAATATCTCTAACGCTTACCCCATCCCTGCCCCCTCCTCACATTGGGGATTCCACGTAGCCGATGCAGCACGCCTGCCCTACCACCTACTTCATCTC